CTCGTTGACCCGCGTCGCCCGTGCTCTCAGAAGGCCGACATCTATGCATTCGGCGTGGTCCTACTGGAGATCTTGACGGGGAAGGTGGTGACGGAGGATGTGAGCCTGCCGCATTGGGTGCAGTCGGTTGTTAGGGAGGAGTGGACTAGCGAGGTGTTTGATTTAGAGCTTATGCGCTACAAGGGTGTGGAGGAAGAGATGGTGGGGATGCTGCAGGTGGCGATGGCGTGTGTGGCAGCTGTGCCGGAGCAGCGGCCGAAGATCGGGCAGGTGTTGAAGATGATTGAGGAGATAAGGGGGGAGGATCGCCGGGCGTATGAGTCGTATGGGGAGACCGAGTCTCCTTGTGTGTCTGAGGGAAATGGGATTATTATGGCGGGTTAGGGATGCGTCCCGTTCTAGTTTTCTCATTCTGGGTGTAATTGTTTGGTCTGTTTCCTGCGGCATTTCTCTACTAACTTTCAATATGGTTTTCTTTGTGAAAGTTTATGATTGCATTGCCTGGCTGAAAAGAAACTGGGATCAGTTTGATTACGCTGCCTATTTAAATAATTTAATTGCAATTTTTGTTATAGATTCCTCCTTGGATTGTTGGAGTGGATTTTTGTAACATTGTTTACGGTCTCGCATTGTCTTTATATACACAGCACAATTACCACAGGGGTTGATTGGTTTGGATAGTTGAAGTTGTAGAAATCTATTTGTCGAAACCACTTTCAAGAGGTATTTTGTAGATAGTCTCTTAAATCATAGTTATTTTGATATTAGTCTTTTAAATCTTCATATTTTGATTTTAGTACCCCAATTTACCTTAATATGTTTATATTGATTCCTCTAGCCGATGTTAAATTGGGTGTGTTGAATATTCTGTTGTCCTATATTTGTTCCCTTAAATGGACAACTATATTTAGGAGGGTGTTAAACTCTAATTAGAAGCCTTAAACCATACAAATTTAAGTCCTAAATAGACGGAGTTGCCAACCCCGACTATTTAGGAATGTGATTAGGCTGCTAATCAAAAAAACGGGTCGGTTTTGGTAAATAAAAAAAACAGGGTCGATTTTGAAAAATAAAAATTTAAAAGGGACTGTATTGTTCGGACCTCCAGCACGTGATTGACGGGCACTAGAGCATGTGTTCAGCCATTATGCTGGCGAAACTGATGAATTCTCTTTTCCCGATCCCAAAATTAGGACTATATTTTCAGTCAAATTTGATGAAGAGTGGGTGCAAACTCACACGGGCTTCCCTATTAATGGGAAGTTGATCTACAAGAATAGAGACCCTCACAATCAGCTTTGCAGGGAATACTTTGAAGAGAAGAAAGAAATTCTAAAGGCCAAGTCAAAGACAAAGGCCAAGGCTACACAAGAAGCTGGTAGCATGAGGAGATATGTTGAGGAGTTACTTGAAACACTTGTTGAGTCTTCTGATAATAAGGACATTGAGTATTTTTATGCTGCTTCAGATCTTATACCAGTATGTAATGATTTAGTGCCCCAACAGCTCACAAGGCATTGCAAGACAGTTGTTTTAATATGTAAATAGTATTGAGAGAGTGAAGAACGTTGCTGGGGTAAATTTATTTTTGATGAGACGAAGAGAGGCATTCAAATTGCCGTTGAAGGGTTGAGGAAGCCAGGGGTTACATACATACCTGGATGCATGCCACTCATCCCTGTAAGTTGCATGCCTAACTGGTTTGACATTTGTTTTAGTTAATAGTAGCCTTGGTAACAGGCATTAGAAAACCTATTGAATATTGAATGTTAACAGGATATGGTTAAAATTAACATGTTAACATAAACTTTAACATATAAAAATTAAAGTTAACATTAATAGGTGAAAGTTAAAACATGTTAACATGAACTTTAACATATAATTATTAAATTTAACTTCAATAGGTGAAAGTTAACATGTACCCATTAATGTTAACATGTGTTAGTGAAAGTTAGCTATTTAGAATATAGTTAAAGAATAAGTTCTGAAAGTTAACTATTTTGACATTCGTTCTTTCGATTCTGACAGCTATGATACTATAAGATGACTGACATTAAAAACTAACCCTAAACTTGAGATGGAAGCCTCCGATGACCAATTGGGTAAGGGTCGGAGGGACGGCTAGATCGTTGAGGATGGAGATAATTGTCTCTAAGGCCAAGAAAGCAAGCATTAAAATTATGGAGAAACAAATTTCTCCCAACATTGAATGGGGTGAAAAATACCCTCAAAAGGAGCCCAGCATGAAGAAGACTAAAATCACTCGCTTTGGGAAAAAGGAAGCCTAATTGTCTCATATAGGAGTAAAGTTATGGAGCAAACTAGGCCGAGAAAGAAGAATGAGAAAAAAAGGTATAGGATGGGAAGAAAGAGAAGGTGAAGGGCAAACGAAAGAGCTCATCCGTAGGCTACGTAAGCATCAATAACTCTTTACACATTCTTACATATTTATATTGAGTTAAATTTTGTATCTTTATCATTAATTCATTTTTAATTTTCATTGTTTCATGTTAACTTTCTTTGGGTAAGATAATTACATTGTTACATGTTGAGTTAGTTTTAAATATAAATGATTAGTAGAATATGTGAATAAATAGCATATCATGATAACTTGTGCCCTTTATGTTATCTTTCATGATTATAGCTTATATGTTAATCGCACATGTTACCTTTAGTTATGTTCATGTTAATTTTAAGTAAAACATGTTAACTTTCAGGCTGACATGTTAACATATAAAATTTTGTGGATTTTCATAACTATTTTCCTTAATATTGTGGGTTTACATGGGTAATAGGTATATGGTTTACTTTTCAGATTTTGGCTCAACATATCAGAGATGCTTTTGAGAGTGAAGATGAAATAGAGAAGTTAACAAGTGAAGATCAAATTCATTTTTGGAGGAATACTGCCAAAATAAATTGAAAATTGTTTCACGCTGTCAAGCGTAGCAAGCACCTTCAGTGGGATGCTTGCTCTAAGGAGATAAATAGGCTGAATAAGAAATTAGAGTGCTATGAAGGGACCGCTGACTTGATTAATGCCGAAGACCTGAAGAAGAATGTGAAGAGGATTAATTCACAAAATGATAGGCATACAGGGTCTGCACAAAAGAAAATAAGGAGTATTGCTAATGATAGGGGTGCTGATGGAATTTGCTTCGATTTATGACGATGTAACCAATATTAGCAAGGAAACCTCTCATATTACCAAAGTTGTTGCGCAAGAAGAGATGGAGGTAGAGAAAAGTGAATGGCAAGAGAAGGAGGATGAGAATGTGGAGAAAGCTATAGAGAGTGAGGATGAGAAGAAAGAGGAAGCGAGAGAGGATGAGAAGAAAGAGGAAGAGATAGAGGGGGTAGAGAAAGTGGAAGAGGAAAAAGGAAAGAAGGAAGATGAATAAAAAGTGGAGGAGAACAGAGAGGAAGAGAAAGCTGAAGAGAAGAATGTTGAAGAGAAGATGGAGGAGAAAAATCAGGAGCAAGTTTATCGGAAGCAAAGGGGATTAGGGGACCAAGCACTAGAAAGAGGATGCGCTCACAGCTAGTCTGAACCCCTTTCACTGAAGAAAAAAGAAGGAAGTTCGTCAAGAGATAATTAACATATCACACCACAAGGATGAAGAGAGGGAAAAAATCAGGTTCTATTGTAAGCCTGATGAATACACTTGGGATTTTCTGGCGAAGAGGAAAATCAAGAAGAGGAAGGAGGCTCTTTTGAAGTTGCTAAACGAGAGTATTCCTAACGTTGATGATTTTAGCATACGTTTGATTGATAGTGAAGGAACCTTCGTTCACAACTTTAGAGTACATCATCATGTAGTGGCAAAGCTCACACTAGATGAGAACAGATGGATCTCTCAGTTTTGCTATAAGAAACCCTATCAGTAAGTTTAGACATTCTGAATAACGTTTGCTAGAACATGTTAGCTTTCATTGTTACATGTTAACGTTTCCAGATTTATGTTAACTTATACCCATTTATGCTAACATTTGCTAAATCATGTTAATATTTCCAAATTTTTCTATAGCCAGGTTTATATTTACGTTTGGATCTTATTGTTATGTTTCAGGTCATGTATTATTGTTAATACATTGAACAGTAGTATCGATTCATTGGAGCTTCTTTATCTTCTATGTGGCAGTCTTATCGATGACCATGCAAGTTTAATATGTTAATCTTTTACGCATTTCTGGGATGCACTAGGTGTTGTGTTGTTATGTAATTTAATTTGCATCTTCTCCATGGTAAATTTACAGGTGATGGAAGCACTTGTAGATAGGCTTAACACATAGCTAGAGAGGCAAGAAGTGGAGTCATGGGCATGAAATATGGGGTTGTATCAACATTCTTCTGCGTAAACATTAGGTTCAAACTCCTAAGCTTTTTTAACTCTTATTTACAATTAGCTTATCATTATTTTCTTGGCAATACAGCATAGCCTTTATGCAGTGACCCCAGATTTTCCACATCTATACACCTCATTCATACAAAAACATGTTGCCGCAAGGAAGAGTGTACTCCTTATCCCGCTTGTGCGTCATGACCACTGGCATGTTGCTTTGCCTAGCTAACTATATCTCAAGTTAGATGAGTGAATTTCATTCCAAACACAGAATTGGATTAGCACAAGCATCATTGAGCATTCAACACAAGTCTATATCAAAGAAAGCTCCATTCAACAGTATACCTCTAGCAACCAAGTAGATTTAAAATAACTTTTAACCTAAACAATATGACTCAAGCTACATTCAACAGTACACCTATGACTATTAACGAAAGTATTTCAATCCCTACTCCAAGTCGAATGTAGGATCTTGAAAAGTTTGGGGGGTCTTGTATACAATTAAAATATATTTCATCCAGCCGAATGATACAACTTGGATCCAAGAAGTGAACGCTCATGGGTTAAATACTCCAAATGGTCTAAAGTCAAGACCACAACAAGTTGTTGTTGGACCCTAGAGGGGGGGGGGGGGGGTTAAGGGGGGGGGGGGTGATTAAGGTCTTAAGGGAATAGTTGTGCAATAAAATTTAGACAATACAATACACCACAAAATGAAAAGCTAATGTAAAGGAGATAAGGTTAGAAATTATTATCCAGGTGATGTGCGATGTGTTCATGAGGTTCGGTCCTCTGACCTACGTCCCCGCTCCCCACTCTCGAGGAGAATCCACTACACAACCCGGTTTGGAACCCGGAATTTCTTCTACACAACAATCTCCATGAGATCTCACAACCACGCAATTGATCTCCACAAGATCAAGCTCACAACAGTAGTAAATGATGTAAAATCTCTTTTTTTACAGTAGTCCCATGGCAAGAAGAGAGATTGCACTTGAAGCTTGGGATGTGAAAATGAAACAGTGAATAACAAGATGAAAGTTGAAGCTCTTTGAAAACAATAAACTTGAAAACAAGAGTTTTGCAATGAAAAGCTTAGATTTGAAGTAGTTGGGGTATTGGGTATTTATATGGAAAAAAAATAGCAGCCAAAACCCCAAAGAATCAGACAAAATCCCCCCAAAAAGTAGATTACTGAATTTGTACAAAAATAGCCATTACAGAATTATGAGTCGACTCAGTACTGTTCATGAGTCAACTCAGTACTGTTCATAAGTCGACTCATAAGTAGCCGTTAGAGGCTAAAAACTAACTTATGAGTCGACTTGTAAAAGTCATAGGTCGACTCATAAATCATGGGTCGACTCATAAGATCATGAGTCGACTCATCAGAAACAAAACTCATTTTCCAGCACAGTTTGTGAGTCGACTTATGACAGGCATGAGTCGACTCAACCAGATGAGTCGACTCATGATGTTGTGAGTCGACTCATCATAAACAAATTGTAAATTACGTAGTAGTTTATGAGTCGACTCAATACTGTTCATGAGCCGACTCACAAACATGTACATAGAAAATTTCAACTTTGAACCTTGTTAAGAAATATAAAATAAATTCTAAAAAATATAAAACTTTGGGAATAGTTTATAAATATTTTGACAAACTTGTTTGAAAAGGAATTTTGCAAAAAGGTCCTCGTATTTGTGAAAATCATCATTTTAACAAAAGTACCAAAATACGATTTTTGAAATAGTGCAAGTGTGTGTGGTATCCCAAATAGCTTCAAATAAAATCTACAACTACTTGCCTACATTTAAGTACTAGAGAGAAAATAAAATAGCAAATATCTCTCACATAAAAATACATTTCTTGAGTCTTGATATAGCTTTAGAGTTGTTAAAGCTTTTTAAAGCATATAGTGTTCTTGATAAACATTGCTTCATCACTTTGCCTCCACCTCCTTTAGATATTGACGTTGTAGCTCATATTGTTAGACCCTAGAGGGGGGTGATTAGGATTTTATGCTAATCTAATCCGATTTTATGCCAATTAAAACTAATTAATAAATTATTCTTGTAAGAGAGATATATAATATGTTACAAGCAAGAATAATCAATATGAACAAAGAGCAATATCCTAGCAATGATATATACTATGAGATATATACGAGGATATACAATGAACACAAAGGTAAACAATCTAAACTAGATAGTGGGCAATATAAACAACAAGCAATATACAAAGGCGATATAAGATATGAGCATAAGAAAGGTGTGCAAATGCAATCATAAACAAACGATATGATCATGGAGTTCGGACCTTCCGTCCTACGTTCTGCTCCCCACTCCTGGGGGAAAATTCACTATCACAACCGGGTTTTCTACGCTCCCCCGAATAACGTTTACACCTCACAATTTTATTCACGGAGTTCGGTCCCCACGACCTACGTCTCCGCTCCTCACCTCGAGGAGTTCTCCACTACACACTCGGTTTTCTAGCTAACTGAAAACTTTACAATCTCATAATATAATAAATAATTTGTTCTCTACAATAGATGAGAACTCAATGTAGACTCACTCTCTAAGTCACACAATCCCACAACCCAATTATACAATATATGCAAATACAATAAGCTCAATGGTTGTGTGTGTAAACAAAGAGAAATAAAATCAAACTCAATTAAAATCTAGCAAATATAAATATGACAATGTAAATGTAAACAAACTAGATAATTGAGTTGAGAAAACTTCTCTAGAACAAGAGAGATGGAGATGTGAAGTGGAAAGCTCAAACCAAAGATGATCTCCTCTTCTTGTGAATCAATCTTCACAAACTTGAAACTTTTAACCCATACTTAAACAAAACTTAAACTCTTGTAAAAACTTGTTTAAAACATCCCTTGGTGGAAGAAAATAGTTATGGCAAATGGGTAAATATAGGGTAGAAGAAAACAACCCATAAAAACCCCAAAAACCCACTAAAAACAAAAATCAGCAAGTTATCGTTACTGTGCAATGGTAACTTCGATGGTCGACCATGGCGGTCGACCGCGAGAAGTAAAACTACAAAACTACTCTCCGGACTGCTGACGGTCGACCGTGGCGTACTTTTCCAGATTTTGACAGATGCTGAAAATTTGCATATCTGACTTTGTAAAATCAATTAAAAATAGTACAATAACTCCAAAAATTATGAAATTTAGATAAAATGTTCTAGACATGTATAAGAATATGTTAGAGAAAGAATTTCTAAAATATATTTTTCCAGTTGAGAAAAATAACTGTTTGAACATAGATATACAGTTTCTGAAAAAACTGCTAAAAACTTGGTTTTGTAAATTCAATTGAAAATAACAAAACAACTCCAAAATTAGTAAAACTTCGGAAAATGTTTGTATATATGAAGATAAACATGTAAACGAATATTCTTTTAAATCTCATTTTCCAATTGTGAAAACATATCTATTTTACAAAAGCATGCACGAACATGTGCACGAACATGAGCTTATTAAAAACTTGATTTTGTAAATTCAAATAATCATAACAAATTAATTCCAAAATTGATAAAACTTTGAGAAACATTTATAAACATTAAATTGAACATGTTAGAAAAAGAATTTCTCAAATTGAATTTCTCATTTGTGAAAACTCATGTATTTTGCAAGTGTGTCCAAAACATAAAAATGTGATATACATGAAATTTGATATTTTGACATAAACAATATTTTGAAACCCTATGAAATAATTTTATAGACTTAATGAAATATTATACAATGATTGTTAAGTCCATAAACCAAAACTTGTGTATATATATATATAACTATATATATATATATAAAAACAAAATACGTGTGTGTATATATGATTGAGCTTAAAGTACTAACACACATAATATAAAACCTAAACTAAATATACCCAAGCTTGATTGATCTTCGATGTAGCTCAACTTGGTACTCTTATGGATGAAGCTAGAACTTGGATCTTCAATTTGAATTGTATAGGCTTCACACCACAATTCCGCCAACCTCCATTTGATATGATCGTGAATGCTCGATTCC